ATGGAGATTAAATCTCCACCATTAATTTCTACCACATATCTTATTTCCACCTCTCTGTCACTGACTCTCGTCTTCTCTCTCGAAGCCTGGAAGTATATTTTTCCAGGAGCCATCCTCTTTCAACTTCCAGGTTGCCTCCTCATAGATTCTAGGGCTTGATTTTTCTCCTCCTCCTCCACCTCCGTCATCTCTAGAACCTTGGTTTCTTCTCCCTGCAGGTCGTCTAGCCATCACTTCACCTCCCACCGCTTCCTCAGCGCCTCCTCCATTGTTCGCTCTTCCTCTCATTGAAGCCACGACGGTGTACATATGTGCTTCCCCTACACAATCTGCTCCCAGATCAGAGTTGTTGCTCCCCCTTTCTCACTCGAGATGAGTCATCTTGTGAACACCACCATCACCATGGTCTCCTCCCAAACGCGACCACCCGTCACCGTTGTCGAGAACACCACCATCATCCTATGATTCGAAATATCATATCATCTTCTCTCATATTAAGGTGATTTCTAAATTGGGGTTTTTGAATTATCTGGGTTTCTAAATTTAGGGATTTAGGACTTTTGAATCAGGATTTTTGAAATTTCTGGGTTACTGAATTTGGGGATGTAGTTTCTAAATTTTCTGGATTTAATTAGTTTTGCTTGGGTTTTGATTTTAGTTTTGGTTTTAGTTTAGCTTTGGGTCTTGCTGGACTTGTAAGGCGAAATAGACTAATATTGAACTTATTCATGTTCATTGGTTTTCTTACCAAATTCCATATGCTTTAAATTGCTACGCTTTATGATTTGCAGTTATAATTTGATGTTTGGGAATGGTTGTCTGCATATTTTACACTTTAAATGTTGTTGGATGATAAGAATGGGAAAACTGATTGAATGAAGTTGTTGTCTTCAAATGGGCCAAGCCTGTTCTAATAAAAAAATTGTAGACCCAAATATGTTCTTGAAAAAATGTAATTGGATCCGTGGACCCGGCCTGAACGGTCTGTTTCAAACGGGTTGGGTTAGGTCCGGTTCCAATTTCAGAAATTCCATTACTCGGCCCAGCCCGTTGCAATTTAAAACAGGTCGAGTCTGATTCCTCCAAATTTGGGCCCGGCCCGGCCCATGCCCACCCCTAGTTTATCCGTTGTGTAATTGCATAAGCAGGTATACCTATACCTATAACCGTACCCATTTAACCGTAACTGTATACCCGTTTACCCTTTTTGGTTGCCCCTTTTATTTTTTTTAACAAGTTGAAAGTAAAAATAAAATTGTCATAATTTTCTTTTTCTGATAATTGAACACAGTTATAAGTACATTTATTATGCATTTCTCTATTCCAATAATTTAAGTCCTCACATCATTCCGGAAATTAAAATTATGGTATACGGGCAATATTTTTAGCTATTATCAATAACAGTAATATAATATATATTCTAAGAATTGATTGGGTTACTAATAAAAAATCTTCATTACTTAAGTAACGAAACAGCTAAACCCTTTGTGAAACTCTACCTGAACAACTTATTTACTAGTAACTTCAGATCAACAAGAAAGATTAATCCTTTTTGGATAAAAACCAATGGAATTTATCCAAATCCCAACTTCGGCTGCAGAAAAAAATATGCAAGAAATAATCTATAGATTTGAACTTTAACTATGCTTTCAGATTATGATGAACTAACTCCACCCACTTTCAAAATTTCCAAGTCCCAAACAATTAGAAATCCACAATGACAAAAGGAATTTTTTTTCACAGTTCTTCCTTTTCCGCATGCATTTGGGAAGATTATGAATTTGAATTGTTAGCATTCTCTCATCCGTCGAGTCGATGACACTCGGAGAGTTCGACGAGTCGTGGACTCGGTCAAACTCTTAGGGTTTTCAATTTTTGTTTTTTTAATTTTTCAAATAATACAAATGGTTAAATAGGTACCTGATTGTATCTGCAGGCAATTAGTATTTGAAACGTTAGACAAAAAAAAATAACAAAAACAAGAAGGTTGCTTGGTGCTGAAATTTAGAGGAAGCCAATGCGATAGTCAAATATTTAAAACGTGAATAAAACAAGGGTAAATTACACTTTAGTATCTCAGGTTTGAGGTCTATTGCAACCTCATACAACATCTTCAAAACATTTCACTTTCAGACCTCAAGTACTATTTTATTTCAATATAATACATCTGTAACATTTTCCATCCATTGATCTGTTAAGAACTGACGTGGCTGCCACATTTGTGTCACGTGGCTACCAAATTTGTGCCACGTGGCAAGAAAATATTTTTTTATGCATTTAAAATATTATAATAATTTATCCTATTAAAACAAAAAACCCATCTTCTTCCCGAGCCCTTCCCTTTCCCCGCAACCCAAACACCCCATCCCACCCCACCCCCACCTCCCCCGCAACCCCCAAACAACCATCCCTTCCTAGCGAGAGTGGTTTTTCCAAAGCCACCAATCCCACAAATCCCAAAGACCCTCAGATCCTCCCTCCCAAAAATTATTCCCTTCACTGTCTTCATCCCCACCCCCAATACCAACACCACCGAACTGCTCACCTCCCACTTCATATGCCCTTCCTCCTCCACCCTCCTCACAACCTCCTCCATCCACCCGCCACCAACACCCCCACCCCCGCAAGTTCCAATCTTTAAGGTCCCAAGTCGCTGTTCCAGCATCCGGTTCGACCAATCAAGCCGTTCGAACAGCTAATCCACCTCCGCCCAATGTGGTGGATGTCGGCCAAGATATGGACCTGTAATGGGCCCTGAAGAAATCTAGACACTGTCTTCTCCAAAGCCTCCATATTTTTCGCCAATCGAACGTGCCTGTAAAAGTTCTAACACGTATCGTGAAGACTTTTCAGACCAGTTCTATGCCGTTCTGGAGAACTTCCGACATGCGGTCGAGCTGGAACTGCCGTTCAGCCGGTAGCCCGACGCCGAAGTACTTGATTTCTTGGATTATGGGGAGGAGCTGCTCGACTGAGGTTTTGAGTTCCTTGGCGGTTCCTCTACTGTTGCATGACTTGCGGGAGATGACGATTAAATTTTTCAAGAGCTCCGTCATGATCTTGCCAACGAAGAACTCCGTCACTGCCATTGTTAGTGGTGGTGGGATCGGAAAGTCCCAACCGTTGTCGAATCATAAGACGATTGCCCAGATCTCATCGGGCGGGTTCGTGATGGCGTGGAGGGGATTGCGGGGGCATCTACTGTGGAGAGAGAAGGGAGGGAGGGTTGTTTGGGGGTTGCGGGGGAGGTGGGGGTGGGGGTGGGATGGGATGGGGTGTTTGGGTTGTAGGGAAGAGGAAGGGCAAGATGGGTTTTTTAATTTTTTTAATTTTTAATTTTAATAGGGTAAATTATTATAATATTTTAAAGTCATAATTTTTTTTTTGCCACGTGGCACAAATTTGGCAGCCACGTAAGCTATTAAAAGATCAATGGATGGAAAATGTAACAGATGTATTATATTGAAATAAAATAGTACTTGAGGTATAAAAGTGAAATGTTTTAAAGATGTTGTATGAGGTTGCAATAGACCTCAAACCTAAGGTGGTAAAATTTAATTTACCCATAAAACAAAGAATGAAAAGGAGTTAGCTCAGTTTTGGACTTTACATAAATGGTACATCTTAGCTACTACAATGAAAAACCACCACGGTAAGACATTTTTAAAGGAAAACTAATGAAAATGCTTGAAAACTTTGAGTTTTAATCAAAATGACAAAAAAGTGTTGTAAGTGAATAGTATCAGGAGTGACTTTTTAGAGTAAAAATGTCTCTAACGTTAAAAGTAACAATACCATGAGTGTTTCGTTAAAACTCTCCATTTTTAAAGACGCGTAGCACTCGTAATTATACAAAGTCTCTCGCAAGGGGGAGTGAAAGAACATATGTAAAATAAAACATTACTTTACACAAAGTGAAAACAAAGAACTTGACAAATATTTAGAATGTGCATGATATGAAGAAGTTTTTCTTGACAATTATAATGAAAAACAACTAAAGAAAAACATCTTTAGGGGCATTATGCGCCTGTGATTAAAAAAAATACCTCTCACACGTTGAAGGTGTCTATTAAAAAGGTAGGATGAAATATGGGTGTTGGCCTCTCACAATTTCATTGGAAAAATGAGCGTTAGTCATTCAAAATCAAAAACTTTGGATGGGAAAATATGTAAACAACTAAAGCAACACATTTTTAGGGGTGCGTAGTGTCTGTGATAAAAAAAAATGTCTCTCGTATGCCCGTAAGAGCACTTCTAGTGTTGGAAGGCCCCCCCCCAGGGCAACTGCCTATTGAATCCCCTTCAGTGAATAATAATTGCCTTTAATGAACAGTAATTTCCTTTTGCATCTCCACCCCTAAACTGAATAGCCATGGCAATAGGCAATAAAATATTAGTATTTTTATGTTATAAAATAATAAAAAATAATTTTATTTCTAATTTCGGATATGATTTTTAATCAGTCTCGTTGTACCATGTTTCATTTAATAAGAAATTACAACCCAAAGTATTTGAGAAAATATAAAATTGTAGTGTAAGTTGGAAGATAATGTTAAGATATTTATAGAAAAATTAAATCATTTTTTTTTTAATTTTTAAAAAAAAATTTCGGATTTTTTATTAATTTTATAATGTGGCAGATGTCATCTTTGCATCATTGGGCCTCAAGCGCTCGGGCCTACGATTTAAGCCTTCCCTCTCACACAGGCCCCCCCTAAGCCCAATCGCCCGCATGGGCTGGAGTAAGGAAGGGAGGCAATTGGATTGAAAAGCTCCCTGGTCCACCGGGCTATCCCAAACTCTGGAGTTGCTCTAAGCGCGTGTAGAAAGGCTAATGGAAAAGAAAATGAAAAATGTGGGCCAGGTTTTAAAAGGGGTAGTAGGTTTAAGTTCAGAATCACGTGTCATGATTGTATCGGTAAGATATACCAGGTGGCTGGTGTATCGTACATCTAATAAATACCTGGTAATCAACGGTCAGTATGGAGGAGTTCACTGTGTACGCCCTACGCTTGTTCACTTCGTAACTTACTCTCTCACTGTGCCCACCACCTCCCTCGTGGCTCCCTCTGCGAGAAACCCTAATTGAATCAGTCACACCTCACAAGACAAGCAAAGAGGAAGCAAATTTCATACCATTCGGATTGGATTCGCGCCACTTCTTCAGCTCCTCACCATAACAAAGCAAGCTTTTGGACTTCACCGTATCCATGTCTGCTGCATCAGGTCAGCCTCACCTCTCTTTTTCTACTCATATATAAATATATATATATGTATGTATATGTATTGATTTAGGTATAATATCTATGTATTGCAGTTGTGTTTAGCTGAATTGCAGTAATATGATTTTGTTCTTGGCCTCTGGATATTGTGATGTGTGCAACTCTGTTAAATCTCCAGAATTTGTGAAACCCTAAATCCAGATGATGCATTAAGCACTGAATTTGGTTTCAAACAAGAAACTTATTAGGAGATTAGAAAAACCGTACCATCGCGCAGTTCGCTCTTCAATCAATAAATGAATCATAGTAAGAAGAAAATAAAGGGTGGGGAAGTTTAAATCTCAGTGGAACAAAAATGTATACAGGATTATGATTTTTATGCATTTAGCGATGGCGGGAAGCTGCGCTGGCAGGCTTGTTCGGTGTAATTTCTGGACAAATGGGTGATAGTTATTTTCTCTTGAGAACAGGGTAGGTCTTCCTTACCTGGTAGGCTATTTTTAGGTCTTGTTACCTGGAAAGTGGAACGTCTTTGAAGCGTTCTGCAGAGGATTATTGAAAATAGCCTCGTCAAGCTTGTCATTAACTTGACTAAAGGGAAATTCGAGCTGCTGATCATTTGGTGCCTTTCTCCTTCCTAGTTTGGTTCACTTGCTTGAGATAAACTAAAATGTGCTGGTCTGTTCCTCCTACAAACGATTTTGCTGCTTTCTCCAATTTATTTCCTTGTTTCACTGTTTATTTTTGCTTATGTCATAGGATACTACACACGCATATGCAATCTAAATTGTATGTTTTCAAAATTGTAACCTTAACCTTTGACTTTTTTCAGGTTATTTTCTAATTAGATGCATTGTTCTGGGTGATGTTTTGTAACATTCTAAAAGCAAGTAGATGCTATTATCTGTCTAGAGAGGCCTTCCGTCTTCCCTCTGTGATCATTGGTAGTGTTTCTTATTCAGGAATCTTCACTACCATGAGAGAAGTCAAGGTTAAAGGTGCGTCTGGTTCTTGTTCTCTGGATTCTGGTGAAGAATCTCAGATCCTACAATCTGAATCGGCTAGTGACAGCCATAGACAGGCATCCTTAAATGTGCAGTTCACTCCTGAAATAGAAAAGAAGTATGTCCATCATGTTTATGATGCTATCGCACCTCATTTTAGTTCAACCCGGTTTGCTAAGTGGCCAAAAGTAGCCAATTTTCTATCTTCCTTACCTTCAGGATCTCTTGTTCTTGATGCGGGATGTGGGAATGGGAAGTACTTGGGATTTAATCCTGATTGTTTTTTCATTGGATGTGATATAAGTGCTCCTCTTATCAAAATTTGTGCAGATAGAGGGCATGAAGTGTTGGTTGCAGATGCCGTAGACCTTCCATATAGAACTGGTTTTGGTGATGCAGCTATATCCATAGCTGTATTACATCATCTCAGTACGGAGGGTAGGAGGAAGAAAGCAATTGAAGAGTTGATCCGAGTTGTGAGAAAGGGTGGCTTAGTTCTAATAACAGTTTGGGCTGTAGAACAAGAAGATAAATCATTAGTTGCAAAATGGACTCCACTTACCGAAAAGTATGGAGAAGAGTGGATAGGACCTGGTAGTCCTCATGTTCGTAGTCCTTCATCTCGCACATTGCAAAGCATCCCAGAAACAGAGGAGAGTAGTTTGGGAGAGTGTAAGAAAGAGTCCGACCAGAGTGCTACACAGAGTTTGCAAGAAAAAACCTCTCAAAGTGAGAGTTATTTGGGGACTTCTTGTGATGTGAAAGATGCAAATGATCAACAAGAATATTTTGTCCCCTGGCACTTGCCATATCACCGTGCTGAAGTAAGTGGTGCTTCTGCTTGCGCTCTTGCAAATGGCCTTGCAAAGAAAGATGATAAAAAGGGTGCTGTTGTGTACAACAGATATTACCATGTTTTCATTGAAGGCGAGCTTGAAAGGTAACTTGTCATTTTGTTTCTTTTTCCATACTGTATGTATATTGTTTATCAACAAATTAATAAAATTATACGTATATTTTCGTTATGTCTCATTGCTATGGTTGTGCTGTGTTGTTGGCTTGCTGAAACTGAATTAACATTACTTGAAGCAAAGAAACCGAACTCACAGGGGGCAAAACTAATCTTTTATATGTTTAGTGCCTATTAGGACAGAATTTTATGCATCTGTTTATATGGATTTGTTATGAAGCTGGAGCATAAGGGCAATACTTTAATGAGTGGAATCGTAGGAGCTGTTTAAATAGTTGAGGCACCCCAGCACAATGGTTTACATCTGTGAGTCAATAAATGGTCAAAGTAATTCACTCAGAGTATTTGTTATATTGAAAACATATAATATAGAATGCAGATGAGTGGGGTAATATATAGGTACTTATAAGGTTATGATCTATGTATGGCTAACATGTCACCAAATTTTGTTTACTTTGTGCCTGAATGATGAGTTACCGTTTCTTGAATTAGGGTTCATGGCACGAAGTCATATATTCTAGTGTTATATTATTATGAGTAATTTGTGTGAGATAACCATTCACGTTAGAAGTACAGAGGCCAACTCTAGAAGTGAGTACGAGAAGAAGCCTCGTGGGCCTATTGGATTTGGCCCAAGCCCTTCCAGTGGGAGAAGGATCCCAATCATGACGGTAGGTCAGCCTCTAAGTGAGGAGAGTTTTTTCAGTGTGCCGAGAACATGGCCCGATACACCAAGTGCCATAATACAGGTGGTTGTATGCTTAAAAAAATTTCCAACCACTTGTATTGTGACACTGGTGTACCGAACCGTGTTTCCGGTACACCGAAGATTTTCTCCTAAGTTAGGTAGCACCCTCCTTTGGTGGTATTGCTCGAGTTAAGATCACTGCCCAGTTGCTTTGTTGGTGCAGCTCCTATGTATCTTAGTTGGACTTCTGTCTCGTTTTTTAAAACGAAATGAACACATAAACTTTGTTAAAGGGTATTTTAATTTTGGTGGTCACTGCCCAGTTGATGCTTAACTTAATGTTCTGACATTATATTTACAATTGATGCTTAACTTCACGTGCTCATTTAATTTTTTTCTCTATTATGCAGATTAGTAGCTGGGATGAAAGACGCTGTAATTGTTGATCGATTTTTCGACAAATCCAACTGGTGCATTGTCCTCAAGAAAACGTTATGATAACCTGGACCAATTAATCCTTGCGGGTTAAGGTTTGCCAGTGAGTGTGCAGCCTGGAACAGCCAAGGAGAAGATGCACTACTCTGAGCTCCTGAAAATTCGTTAGTTTCGAATGTGCCATAGAAAAAAACTGGTTTGTGACTCTTAAGGAATTGTTTTTGATTAATGCCTTTATTGGAGGTGGTTGACGCTGCAGTTTGCAGCAAGCTTAAGCTGTGGATGTTGTTTTCTGCACATGGAAAGAAGAATCCAACGTTACCTTTATTTGTTATTTCTAGTTTCTCATTAAATGCCTCTCATTTACACACTCAATAAGAAGCCTACCTACCAATAGTACCTTCGCTATCCTTCCTAACAAGGCAATATGGACGCCGGAATTTGCCGTGGGCGTTTTGCATGTGAATGATTTCTGACCGTCGATGCATTTTCGGCCTCGCTTTAGTTTTGGAGCTGGCGTGCATTAGCGGCCGGGAACTTTGCATTATTCACGCTCGACGGACCCTTGGATTCTGAAATATCAGGGATTAATCATGGAAATTGACTGTATACCCCATCACATTTCACATGGTTTGGTGGGATCTCTACGTAAAAATATTCTAGAGCCTTCCAAGTATTTGGGGCTGGTTTGGAATTGTATTTATAAAAATCACTTGTGTTCAGAAGTAATTTTTGCAAAAACGCTTCCGTTACCATTTAGTATTACAGTCTAGTGGTATTCCTCTTCACTTGTAAATGAAATGTCTCGGGTTTGATTCTTGCCAAATACGAATTTGAACCACATTATTGTTAGTCTGATGTGAGGTTAAATTCACCCACTCTCTCTTTGTAGATAATATTGTTTGTTCAAAAAAAAAAAAATTATTAACACAGTGAAACCTTTAATAAAATTACAAGTGTTCATTGAAAAAACACTTAAATACTTTTTGAAATAACTATACATCATGTGCTTCCAAAAAGCAATCACTTTGAATTTTTCTACCATACATGGTTGACTTTTGGTATGTGTTTTTAATCATTTTAAAAACATTTCAAACATGTCCACGATCTTTCCTTTGAAAAAATATAAAATCATACATTCCTATCAATGACAATCTAACATGTATAAAACAAATAACCCATCAAAAACACGACATATTGTCCTACTGGGAAGAATTTGTCGCTTTTGCAACATTAGATGTGTGGCTACAAAAATGTTTCTGTGACCATTCCAATGCTATTAAAAGAATCACAACTGCCATTGTTGTGGTTGTAATTGTTTCATATAATTGGTTCCTTCCTTGGGATGGGAATGGGGAATGGTAGGAAGCAATGGAATCAAACATTTCTAATCCACCATATCCTTTTTATTTTATAATATTATCATCAAGAGACTCCTATTTCAATGTGTTTTAAAATGCTGATAATGTAATCGTTAGGTATCTAATTTGTTTGTAGCAAATAAGGCATTATTATGATCATATTCATGCAAAAAATGCGTCATGGATTATTTCGTTGGTTAGGATCTTTTTCTTTAATCTATTACATTTCTGATTTAAACTATCCTTCCACTCTTTAGTTTAGCTTAAAATATGTAGAAATATTGCTTATAATTCATATATTCCTGCACGAGGAACATGGTCCATGTTGTGGTAAGAATGACTGATTTTGCTTGAAATGAAAGTAACATGTGTTTAATAACATTTGCAGATTGTTAAAACCACGTGATGGTGGTACAGTTATACTTACCATTTCTCAAATTAATGAGTTCTCTTAATGGCACTCAGGTGTAGGTGGGAGTCCAACTTGGCACTTCTCTGTTGAGTGAAAGACTTCAATACTCCCTCCAGATGACACGTAGCGTTCCAAACTAATGATATTATATCAATGATATAATGTCACGTGCTTGAAACATTGTATTATTAGTCTAGATAGTTCCATAGAGGTGCAAATAATCAGGGCTGGCCCAAGTCTAGTGTGGGTTGGATGACCTTCTGGGGCCCAAAAAAATTGAGGGCACCAAATTATTAGGATATTAATATTTTACATATGTTTTCATAAGAGTATAAATTTATAAAATTTGGTTTAATGATAAAGAAGTTCAACTAGAACTAGTGGTTTTGTTGTTTAAATTCAATGAGGAGGTCCCAGGTTTGAAACACTAAATTTATAAAATTTAGTCAAAGGATAAAAAAGTTTAACCATAAGGGGTTGTTTATGCTGTTTAAAATTAACGAGGACGTCATGGTTTCGAAACACTATGTGTGTTTTTTTTACTTTTCAATTTTTACTAATTTTTTTTCATAAGAGTATAAATATATTTCTAAATTATTGAATTTGAAGTGTTTTTATAAGTATAATTTTATCAAAGTCTTACGTGTGAAAACAAATCATTTTACTGATATGAAATTAAGGCACATATTTACGTCGTCCCGACCCTTAAAAATCTCAAGACTGGCCTTACAAATACTGCAATGTCATATGAAAAAAAAAACTATAAAACATTATGTTTTTAGAAATATCATACAACGGTGAATCTGTTCATAAAATTGGCGAAATTTTGGCCCCATAAAAGTGAAAATGTAACATGGATAAATCTATATATAGACTAGCCACAACAAAAAGACAAAACAGTGACAAAACCCCAAAATGTCCATGGCAAACAAATTTCTCAATATCAAAAATATATAAAGGACAAGTCAATCATTTTAACAGCATTATGTTAGGGGCAAATTAATCATTTTAATAAAAAAAATCTTAACCCTATGCCATTCCGCTATTACAATCCCCCTGTCGCTCTTCTCTTTCGACTTTTATTACTGAGAATTGTCATTTGGTTTTGCTTTCAGTAAATTCCACAAAATAGACAAGTAGTTCTCTTTCGATTTAATTTTTTTTTAAATAATTTTTTTTATCAACACAGAAGGATTTTAATTTAATTCCTTCTCTTCACCTCTAACCAATAAACGAATAGCTTATTTTAATTACATCTCTTGGAACTCAAATTTTATTTTATTTCTCCATATAACTGTTAAATCGTCACTTTTCTTCCTATAATTCAAAGTTCGTTTCACTTTGCTCCTGAAACTTGAAAGTTGTCTATATAAAACTTAAAATTCGCTCCACATTACCTTGATTTTGTTAATCTCTTATGTTAATTTGATCTGGGTGCACTAGGCTAATCATTTTCTTGTTTTTATTTTTGTTCATCTCTTCAATTTCTTTTAAGCTTAATATTCTCTAACTATTGAATGTTAATGCATAATGGAGACTTATAATCAAATTTATTGCACATGTGGCCTAATCTTTTTGGGTCTTGAGTCCCCCATATGTTATAGAAGGTGACCTATAAGTTTCAGGGAGAAGAGAGAGTCCACAAGTTAAAGTGAAACGAATTTAAAGTTTTAAGAAGTAAAGTAATGACTTTTGAGTTATAGAGACAAAATGATATCAAAATAAAGTTCCAGGAAGTGTAGCTAAAAACAAGCCTAAACAAATTACACACGTTACTTAATTTTGTCTTGTGAACTAGATAAACTAAGTTTCAATGGTGTGAGTCATTTGACCAGTCATTTTGTTCCCGATGACTGCCAACCATTTTTCTCAAGAAATTTATAGCGATTCTTTTTCAGCGTGAAAAGACATTGAAGGACCTGGAAATAAGGTTGCTGCAATTAGCTCGCTAGGGTTTTCTTTTCCGAAATAAATAGTTGCTGATAGGGTTATATTTGTATTGATGAAGACGATTCAATAAGTTCCAACTTCTTCAGTTCACCAGATTGTACACACGTTGCATTATATCTATATTCGATTAATTGTTCGGGACAGCTAACATTACGTCTAACCACAGGCAAAACATAAAATATGTTGTAATTCTTACTGTGGAGTTCACTCCATAACCTTTTTTTAACGATCTTGTCTATATTTTTGGTTCACCATGAATAAAATTATTTATAAAAAATAAAAAAAATCTAAAATAATCAAGACACGATTATTGAGAAGAAAATAGACGATACCATACTTAAAAAAAAAAAAAAAACTAAAGTTAGAAAAATTTAAAACAATTATTCAACGATTAAATTCTCCTCTATCTCTAGTGTATTAAAGTTGTAATATCGTTTGTATTAAAAATCTTAACGATCATATAGTTGTGTGATTTTGGATATAGATGATATTTGAGAGAAAACATAAGAAATAAAATGTTAAATCATTAAAATACAATGTGGAGTAGACTCTATAATCGTATATCTCGAATAAGATTATTTACGTGATCTTTCAACTAAAACTCATTACATGAGCACAATTATACAGGTGTTCTTGTTTTACTTGTTGCAGGAAGTTTCATGTTTACATGCACTAACCTTTTTTTCGAAGACAAAATTTACAAACTAAATGATATGTCACCAATAGGAATGAGCACGTTTATCAACGCTTAAGTAATAAATCAATCATCAACTTTCATATCCTTTTAATTTTACAAATTTTATCTATAAATTTAGTTTCTCTTACATTTCCTTCTGTTTAATATATCCAAGTCATCAGTCCACTAGGCATATAAAGATTTTGTGTAATTTTGTGTTGTCCAAGTGAACAGCTTACCTCGCTGATTCCTGAATTAATTTTCTTGTTGTATGTTGGGATTGAAGGAGATGTGGACATCCATATATGTCTAATCAGAACGTGGCACAAGTTGGATAATCATTTGACGATTGAGATATTGTAACCAACTCACATGATGCCAACTCGCATGTAATCGTGTCAAATGCTAACCAGACTCTCTTAAAAGTGAAATTTTTCATAGACTAACTGCCATCTCATTTTTTGCATAATTTATGTGCCAAACATTATAAAACATTGTGCTAAAATATGAGGTGGTAGAGAGTTTCACTTTAAAAGAGTCTCCTTAGCATTTCTCGTTTTTTGTTTAAAAGTGCGATCTATTTAATAAGAGAAATAGAAGGTGATAATTGAATTAAAAAAAATATTTTTATTCGAGTAATGTTAGGTAAACTAACTTTTTAGATCATATTTACAAATCATATGATGTGTTATTAATAGGGAATAAACATGTTAATTAACACTTAAGTAATAATTCAACTATCAGCAACCACATCACATGGTTTACCAAATATTGTTTAAATATATAATTTTTCCTACCATTACCATTTTTATTTACTTACCAATCTAATGAATATAAAGCTAAACTACTTTGTAGTCCGGACTATCGAAAACTTAAGTATGCGAATTTGTTTTGATGTATACTTTTAATTCGAATATAAAAATAAAATAAATGTTGTTACTAGTACTGAGTAAGTAT